GGGGGGAGCGAGCGAGAGATAGAGGGAATCAAACAAGTTTCCTGGCTTACCCAATCTTTGTTGAAACGGGCGTAAGTCCAGCACTCTTATCTCGGAGACGTGTGGAGCTTTGAGCTGCAGCATCTTGACAATGTGCTGGCCCAGGAAGCCGCAGCCGCCGGTCACCACAACCACATCGCCGTCAGCCGGCCGGTCCGCCGTCAGGGCGTCTACGTCACTTCTGTCTACGTCACTTCCGTCCATACCGGAAGCCTCTCCGGGATTGTCTCCCCCACTTCCGTGTCGCGTGGTGTCGTCGTTTGTAGACCGTCCCTGTCCTGAGGGGCTTCCATCATCCCTCTGAGATCCTTGGGAGTTTGTTGGGGCGTTGTCAGACCCAGTTGTGTCGCTATTTGTGATCGATTTCGCGCCATTTTTATTTTCTCCGCCTTTTTCGTCGGTGCTGTCCGCGTCGTGGGGCTTTCCATCTCCTCCATATGTCTGGGCGTTCTGGTTTAATGTCATCGGAGCGGAGCTGTTTGGACTGTTTTTCTTTCCTCCAGAAACACTGATGCTTTCAGTTGTTTTCTTAGAGGAACTGTTTTTCTCTTTTTCGTGGGAAATATTGGCTTCCCCTACGGGTTTTCCAGGTACCTCAAAACCTCCTCCAGCAGTTTCTGAACACGCGAATGGAGCATGAGTTGTTGTGTGCCCCCCGAGTGTTTCTTGTTGTGTGCACGCCGCGCTGTGAGTTGACTGAGTGCTCGCTGCCCCCTCTCTTGTATCTGTCTGCTGACCCGGGTTGATGACGTCATTGCAGGTCGCGTGAGAATGTCCGGGTGCAGTTACTACCCTGGTCATTTTCTCTATCTGGTCACGAACTGCATGTTGACCCGATACAGCCACCGATGACCCTCTCGGGAAGCCATCCTGGATCAAGTCTTGACCGCTGGTCGATGATGTCATCATCTCTTTAGGCTGCTGTGCACTCGATGTGGTTATCTCTGTTATGTCCGTTATCTCCATACTCTTTGCCATGATGGACTCGTAGGACGGCGGTCCTTGAGCTTGGGCCAGCTCTGGCTCTGCTTCCGAACTAGGCTGCTCGCACCCGGGTGCGAACTGTTGGCCCTTCTCTGCTGCGGTTGTGAAAGTGCTTCTGATATTATTTTCTATTTGCTGAAGACTGAGGCTCTCACTCTCATCCTTTGACGTTCCTTCCTCCAAACAGTTCTCCAGATTTTGGCGGGACGACAGCCTTTCACTCGACCTCGAAGTGATACCAGGAAAAGGGGAGTCAGGCTGTTCCGAGTTAGAGCTGTGATTGGTTAGGGCGCCTTTTCTTGACCCATTGTCCAGTTTACTGAACGTTTTACTTTCGTTTTCTTTGTCGTTCATACTTTCATTCAGCCCTTTTCCCAAAACACAGTCGTGTTCACTAATACACCTATTTGTGTGTTCCTTCTTGTCCATGATCTTGTCTGTAAAATATGACTCCTTCACCGTCGTGTTCTCTTCTGACATCGTGTCGACTCGTTCTGTAATCAATGTCGGTACTGTGTTCTGTGTCATTTGCTGTACGCTTCGTCGTCTCTCCGCCAAGATTTGTGGCGACTCCTCAAAGCTCACCTTAACACTGCGGAAAGGTTCAGAACCTTCTCCAACACTACTGTCTTTGTCCATCTCTTGCAGTAACGGTACCGCGCTACGAATTGCCTCTGTGTTTTCTGTGTGTATCCCCTTGTTTTGCACCAAGTTGTTATTGTTCACGTTCTTATTATCTGTGCTGATGTTGTCCCTATAGTTATTGTCCAGTTTTCCAGGGGTTTCAGAACTAACAGCTTCTGTTTGGTCTTTCATCGCAAGACTGGGGTATTCCAAGCTGTTAATATTTTCCCCACAACTGATAGCTCTTACGGGAAATAGACAGAGATAAAAATAAATGTTATATTTTGATTCAGATGGGACGTTTGCTGTCAATGTCAAGGAACCTTGTCGAAACGGGACTGTAGTCGTTTCGAACCGCTGCAAACTGGAAATAGACCTCTGACTAACGGTGCCACCTTGTAGTATGGCCTCAGTGATATAAACGCCTTTGTCTGTCTCTGTGGGTCTCGCGTGTGCGCCAAGTTTTAGGTCTCTTGTATTCCATTGGCTCGTGGAGCTTTGACCCCGCCCCCACGACGTCAGTGGTGAGGAGATCGGGGGTGCTGGAAGAAGTAGGAGGTGCCGTAGCTGTTGATTTGACGTTTGTCTTGTCTGGGTGTGATTTTGAGTCAGGGTTTGATTTTGAGTTGATGTTTGATTTTGGTTTGATGTTTGGTATTGAGTTAATGTTTGATGGTGAGATAAGGTTTGATGGTGGGATAAGGTTTGATGTAGATTTATTATTTGATTTTGAATCAAGATTTGATTTAGAGTTGATGTAGAGGATGAGATCCAGCAGGTGAGCTCGTAGTCTGGTGTAAACCTCACTCTGGTACTGAAGACTGCAGGAAGAGGCCTTGTTGCTAAAGGCACTGGGCTGGTAGAAACGACAATTTAGAGGAAATCAGATTTTGAATTGACAGATGTTTTCTATCAAAAGTTATTCCACGTTCCTCTCCACTTTCTCTCTCTCTCTCTCTCTCTCTCTCTCTCTCTCTCTCTCTCTCTCTCTCTGTCTGTTTACTTCTTCGAATCTTTCTTTCTCCCTCTTTTTTCTTTCTCTCTCTCTGCTGCTTGCTGTCTGCCCTCTCTCTCTCTCCATCTCTCTCTCTCTCTCTCTCTCTCTCTCTCTCTCTCTCTCTCTCTATCTATCTATCTATCTATCTATCTATCTATCTGTGTGTGTGTGTGTGTGTGTGTGTGTGTATGCGTGTTTGTGTGTGTGTGTGTGTGTGTGTGTGTGTGTGTGCATTCTTTCTTTCTCTCTCTCTTTCTTTCTTTCTCT